TAATCTTGCAAGCGTAAATTCCATCTCAATTCTGGCTGGAGGTCTTGATTGTGGATTATTTAAAATCAACTCGACTGGTTTGCAATCAGTTATCAGAGTAAAATGTCCTCCGTATAGATAGATATGTAAACGTTCAATTGCCCACACAATTGCAAGAGCTTCTCGCTCTGTTTGACAGTATCGTCTCTCAACATCCGACAGCGAACGACTGATATATGCAACAACATTTCGTTGGTCTGATCCTGGGACTTTCTGTGTCAGAACAGCTGAGAGACCAAAAGGTGATGCATCAGTGATAAGTTCTGTTTCCTTGGTTTGATCAAAATATGCCATAACTGTTGCACTTGTGAGGGCAGCTTTTACTGCGTTGAAGGATTTAGCATGCCTAGATGTCCAGCAAAAAGGCACATTTTTTCTTGTTAATTCTCGCAAAGGCTCTGTGAGATCACTGAAATTAGGGATAAATTTCGCACAATATGTCACCATCCCAAGGAAACTCCGAACAGCTTTAATTGAATTTGGAGGTTGGCAGTTGTGAATTGCTGAAACCTTCGCTGGATCCGGTGAAATGCCATCACCTGAGAAGACAAAACCAAAAAATGTGAGCTGCGATTGACTGCATGAACTCACATTTGTCTTTGTTGAAGGTTAATCCAATGAGTGAAAACCGCTCAAAAATTTCATGAAGAGCTTTGTCATGCTCAGCTTGGGTTATGCCGAAGATAATTATGTCATCACTAATGTTGATGGCATTCGGAATGTCACGGACTTGTTCGCTAATTACATGTTGGAAGATTTCACTTGCCGAATTGGTGCCAAAATTCAACTTCTTATAGCGGTAGAGTCCTTTGTGCGTTACAAATGTGGTTATGTGTCGACTTTCCTCAGCGAGAGATAACTGGTGGTATCCCGAGCGAAGATCAAGCTTTGTAAATATGGTGGCGCCGTTTAATTTGTGAATTAAATCATCCACAGTTGGGGTCGGATGTCTTTCGCGTTGAATTGCCTGATTAGCCATGCGCATATCAATGCATAGCCTGATCTCACCATCTTTCTTTGGGATAACAACTAATGGACTGACCCAAGGAGTGGCATCTGATACTTTTTCAATAATTCCATCACTTTCTAACGTGTCGAGCGCATCTGAGACCTTTTGCCGCATGTTGAAAGGAATACGACGGGGGGTTTGTGCTACTGGAGGGACAGTATCATCAATGTGCAATTTAACTTCAAAATTTTTAAGAGTGCCAATTCCGTTGAACAGATGGGCATACTCTTTCATCAGTTGTTCATGGGTGGCATGTTCCGGTTTCACATTGTTAACATTCAGCATGATTAGACCCAAAGCAGATGCCGTTTGATAGCTTAGCAAACAACCAAAATTTCCTTTGATAACATGAACTTGCGTGGTTGTTGCACCAGTCAAACATTCTAGAGTTGCAAGAAATTGTCCCATAACAGGTAGCTGGTTTGTAGCTCCATATGCAAAAATACGTGTTTTGGAACGTTGAAGGGCTATGGGTCTCTGTTTTTGCAAGGTGTTGAAAGCAAGTTCATCGATGATGTCGATGGAAGCACCAGTGTCGATAACCATGTTGATAGGGGTGGTGTTGACCGAGATTTGAACCTGTGGAGTTGTTTTGTCTCTACCTGTCGGTTTCAGAGTAAAAATAAATTCATCCTCGCTACTGCTTTCACTGCTGGAGGGTTTGCCATAAATCTTGTGAACTTTGTTTTTGTGGTATTTTTTTGAAAGCCTTCGATTCTCTTGTTGACCGACGCGAGCCTTGCGAGCACTACGACAGACTTTCGCAAAATGGTTTGATTTTCCACAGTTCAGACAAGATTTTCCTTTCGCGGGACAAATATTGTTGTTATGGGGCCAGGGCCCCCCACAATTCCGACCCTCTGATGAGGTGTAAAAGTCTTGGCGGTGAAACGATGTATGTTGTTTATCACGATGGTTGTTATGTTTCGTTGTAGGATGGACAGCTTCAACTACTTCGTCAGAAATGTGTGTTGAGTCAAGTGCGTTTTCAATGCCGGTTGCCTGCGATTTACTGAGTTCAAAAGCTCTGCCTTTTGCGAGAATCTTGGCTAGCGTAACTTCCGAGTCAAGCAGGGCGTAGCGTCGTAGACGTTTCGATAAACAGTTTTGAATTATGGCCGATTTTACTTCCTTGTCGATATTTTCGAAGTCACAGGTTGCCGCCAGCTTCCTAAGACGAGTTGAAAACTGATCGATTGTTTCATGTGGTTGTTGTTTGGCTTCACGAAACTTAAAAATTTAAAAATCGACATGTTTTTTAGGTGAAAAATACGTATCGAGGGCAGCGATAGCGGAATCATAGTCGTCGTCTTCGCCGATGTCAACAAGGGTATCAAAAATATCCTGAGTCTCTTGGCCAGCTTGGTACAGCAAGAGAGCCCGCTTTTGTTTCTTTTCAGTCACATTCAGAGCAACAAGATATGTTTCAAATCGTCGTTTCCACGTTTTCCAGCGCTGACTGAGAGAGTTTGGATCGGACATAGGATCAAATGGCGCCATTGGAGCTACATTGATTCGGCCAGTCGCCATGACTGTATTCGTAAACTAGAGATTTCAAAATCGTTTGTATTGATAAACGATAGCTGTTTTTTTTTTTTTGTTTGTTTACCTCGTCGCCAATGTAATGTTCGTGGTTTTGTATCAATATCAAGCACTTTTAAGTATAACAATAGATATCAAACAACTTGTACAAACAGCATAGTACGTATCCAATTACTTCCCGGTTCCCTAGCCTCGTGCTTCTAAAATACTTAACTATAAACTTTTCTAGTCACGTGTGTGCTAGTGTCAATAATGTCAACATTGCATCTCAGTTGAATGATCTTTACGATTTCCACTTTGATGATTTGATAGTAATTTGCGTTTTGCGACATATTCGGTTAAAGTTTATTATTTTGATTATTTTACACTTGTTTATACTGCATGACAGAGTGACAGTAGTTGAGCCCCCTGTGGCTCACGTAGTAAAAACAATTCTTTGAATTTCAATTTGAGGTATAATAGAACTGCATATATGACGAAAATAGCAAATATATAAATAGTTATATTAATATCATTAGAAATATCTAGTATACGAGTTATCCGCTGGTTGAACGTGATTGGCTGATCAGATTAAAACCTGTCTAGTGCTCTTGATAAACATTGAAGATTCTCACGCGAATAGGCAATGTTTTTATGAGCGACCGTTCATCCTCAGCGATGGTATTTCATTTTTGCAAGATTTTGTAAATTTCAAAAGCTTTTTGAGAAAAAAGCCGAACGATTTTGCTAAATAAAAAGGAAAGCAAAGTTATTTACATGCATGCATGCACGCATGCAAGAATTTGAAATCATTTATTTGAAACTCAAAGTTTATCGAAGTTTTAAAGTTTTAAACTGCCTTTTAGTTTTATCGATAATAGTTTTAAGAAATTTTAAAACGTTTTGCGAAGGCGCGTTTGTGGTTGAATTTTATATCCAATTGAAGTTTATATTACGTATAAATGTATAATAACGTATAATAACATACCTAACATATATATGTTTGGAAAATTGATAATTTTGCAATTAAAAGTGATATTTTTTGGGAGATTTTTCAATTTTAAAAATATTCTTAATAAAATTATCGTGTTACCATATAACAACTACTTTAAATACTTCATGTCAGTGGCGTAGCCAGCCTGACAATTTAGTCCCGCTATGCAAATTCAAAATTACTGTCATTATCCATTTATTTAGAAATTGATTGTTTTCACAGTCAATGAACACGAAAATATTTGCACAGCGGGACTAACTACTGCTTCATCACCTTCATGTTCGGAAAATATAATGGCTTTGTCAGGAAGGCGAGGGTTTCTGCATGCATGTCTTCAGTAGTTTTAGATATACAGCTATTTCAATCAAGGTTGTCCCCGAGCAGAGAAGCGGAAAAGTCGAATACGAGCGCGAAAGGCTTGCTGGGAACACTAAAAATGCATTACTGTATACAGACTATGCATGCTGGATATATAGCCTGCGAGGCAGGCTCTTAATAGGGGAAGGAAGAGCCTGCAGTCGCTTCTAATAAATATTCATGCCGCTCTTATAATAAATTCAAATTCGCTCAATAGATTGACCTGCAATCATATCAGAGCGGAATTTTGTTGTTTACTTCCTGCGAAATGTCAATCACGCACGTGCCTTGCGATATATGTCGATTTCAATAAATACATACAGCGATGGCAAACATCAGAGTTGTTGTTAAAAACAATTTTGACAAAAATACCACTGTTATAGTAAGAGACATTTCTTTATCTCAGTGGCAGCCAGTAGCAAATGTATTTTTTTGCCACGAGTTTCTCTCGAGGGAACTAATCAATGCTTTAGAGGGAGAAGTTAACCGGGAATGCAAAGCCTTCTGTATAAAGACGGACAGTTATTTAAAATCCATCAAACCTGATCAACTCTCTGTATTCTCACACACCATTGTATCGGAGACATTAAGGTTTATTGCTCCATACTAAACACTGTATTGAAGAGCACTTGCAACTTGGAAAATTTGAAAGATGATGAAAATGAGCGAGGAATCAACGCTATATTGTTTTAGCAACATCAACACTTATTCGGTGCAGAATTCGTAGAATGTCTGCACTCGCGTATAGGATGTCTACCATACAGTGGAGTGAGTTATCAGGATATTGTTACAATCCCTGTACTTCTAGAACATTTAGTGCATATTCAAAGTAAACACTTCTCTAACGCCTCATCGTTTGACCGTTTGGAATATTTATATTACTGTTGATTGAAGTGTCATTAGAGCTATAGCCAATGAAAAGCTAGCGTTCGCGGGCGAACGCTGTACACGAAAATTTATTGAAGCGACTGCAGGCTCTTCTTTCCCATAACCAGAGCCTGTCTCGCAGACTAGATATATACAGCATTACATGTTATGCATGGGTCTAGTGGTGCCGTAATGATGACAGTTTTGCAATGATTTTAATCGTACAAACAGTAGTGGCATAAGTCAACGGAGGTATCCAACACCAGGTCGATAATGGGTCAGTGGAGGAAACTGTACGCTGGGGGCACGCATCCTGAACCAATTTGTTTATAATTGAGAATGCGTTTCTTTCGTACTTTTTGGCAACCGTATGCCCAAACTATTAAATGTTTTAAAATTTCGGCGATGACTGCCGGACGCTTTGCGTTGCTGTTGCAGAGCATGATATACACGAGGAGGAAAAATTTAAAGGAGCTAGGGGCGGAAAAATTTCTAGTGGGATGCAAGCGGCAGCACTGAGCGAGCTTCGGCAGGGCTTAGGCGTCAGGGTTAAAGATTTTCACACAAAATAAGGGTTGAACACTTTATAAGAGAGGTTAGAGAGATTCTAGGGAGGGGGGTTTAACCCCCCAGTAAATCCACCCATGCATGCAACGAATTTAGCACCATTGCATTGTCGTCGCAAGAAAAATAATTTTGGCTATTTATCCGTAAAGTTGGAAACAAGAAAATGTTGGAAACAACTACACTTTCAACGAATGACGTGAACGTTCATTATTTTAAATTACTTAAAAAATTGATTAATAATTCACGAGGAAAATACAAAAGAAATGAATGTTTAATCAATGTTTGTAAATCGGATAAAGATTTGTCCTGATTTACATAAACTTCAGCTTTGATTTTCTCGGCTTGGACAATGTTTATTTTTAAAATTACTTCGCCAATGAACTCATCATATGATGGGTCATTTTTTAAGTACGATAAAACATTCGCATCCGATCTGTATCTGATATACAAACTCTCGCCTTCGTCTCGAGTTTGTATATCAGAAACAGATCGGCTGCTCATGTTTTATCTAGTATATATAAGTCATCTTTAAAATTATAAAAAGATAATTATGTGTTTTGAAAAGTAGACTTCCTGCAAACAATTTCTAGAATATTAACCACGAAATATTTTAATATGCAATATGTTATTAGAAACCAATAGTTCTTGCAAGGCTGCCTAGGCTGAAATAATTCCACCTTAACTCTGTTCAGACTTCAGAGCAACGAAAAATCTAAACATATACGTACGCAGTTCGTTTTTACCTATTTGTTAAACACGTTTTGCTTATTCAGTCGCGTACTGTTTGATAAGCATATTTTAAATCTTCCAGTCTCCAGTGTATTATTATTCAACAACAATTTCATCCCTCACATGCAAGGTTCATACTGGTTTATTGTCCGATGATGTTTTGTCAGACAATGCCATAGGGAAATCTGACAGAATTCCACGTTACAAATCCCCACAGTGCAAACTACAATATTACTTGTTATGTTGAACGTCATTCCAGACAAGCGGAGGCTCACAAAGTATTTGAGGTAATCCTTTCTGCTCGCTATTCCATACACTGTAGGCAAATCCAGGCAAACGGTTTGGTCCAAAATGATTTGAAGATTCGTTGACTGTACTAGCCATACCAACTTCACCCTTCAAGTTAAAGTGATAAAAGTCTTAAAGAATTTAAATAACGAGATGGTAGTTGTAATACATTGACAAGTTGGGCACACCCTCCCCCCCCCCCCAATTGTCTAGACATGACATTTATCTATTCGATATAACACTGTACATTATAATAGTAATATACTACTTTACTACTAACAGAGACCTGACAGAGAGTTCTTAGCGATAGGAAATGAAGATTCTAATCGAAAAATTCCGGACGATTCACAGAGCAATTCCAATAATTTTCTCTGCATGGATGAAATTACCAGTCCCTGGAAAGGAAAGAGGTCTTGACCATATAAACTATAAAATAATGACAAAGCGCCTTGCCAAATCTATTAAGCGTTAGTTTTCCTGGCTTGTGACGCAGAGAAAACCTCCCTCCCACTCGTACTTCAATTCAATGTTATGTTATTCTATCATGCTCATTGCAGCGATATGGCTTCCAATCTCTGTAAATAGTGCGTAAAATACAGGTATAAAAACGACGAGCAGGAGAACTGCAAAATTTCATAAATTTATGCCGAAAATAGGAATCGTTATACGAAGGGCTCAGCTTTGACGATTTTCTCTTCAAGTATAGATACCTGGCCTTAAATTTGCCTGTGCATGTGAGAAAGGTACTATTTGCATGCATTAACTAAAAGTGGAAAGCCACGTGGTAACTTGCTCAAAAAGTAGGATCTATATATAATTCAGCACAAGTTTCTAATAAATAAGTTGCTCAATGATCGTTCAAGTGTTCAACGTACTTTCGAGTTCATAGCAATGAGAGCCATTTCAAACATTCCATGTTCTCCGACACGTCTCCAAATATCTATAATAACACGCTTACATGCTTCCTTTGGATGTACACTCTGTTAAGACGAAACAAAAAAACCCCATGAAATTAGGTCATGCTAGCGAGCGATTATTAAACAATTGTCGGAGGGCGGGGGCGTTCAACTTTGGCGAATGCTACGATTGTTTGGGTAATCATTTTTTGGAGGATCTAACTTTTGGGGAACCACGCAGAGGGAGAGCCACAGATTTTTGGCCACCTTTTTTATGGCGGTCACAATATACAACTGGAGTGGCTAGTTTTCAAGTACATGCATGACCCGATCAACAACTACCATCTCTCAATTGTTAAGTTGTGACATGTTGCGTTTCTTTGTACATGTTAATGTTTTTTTGTACATGTTAAGTTGTGACATGTTGCGTTTCTTTGTACATGTTGCGTTTCTTTGTACATGTTAATGTACATGTTAAAATGCAGGACACCAACTAGGCATCAACTAAGTTATTTTTACTAATTTATCGTATCGTAAGTTTATGGGTCCAAGACACTTAAATCACAGAAAACTATACAGAAGTCCATCTCCATTGTTTTATGCGTAAGCGCTATTCGTCATGATTCGTCATTCGGCAAGTACCGTAAACAGAAGCAGCCACCCCCCTGGACGAGCGCCATTTTGAGTATTACCCGGGGGGACTGCTTCTGTTTACGGTACTTGCTGAGTGACGAATCATGACGAATAGCGCTTACGCAAAAAACAATGGAGATGGACTTCCGTATAGTATTCTGTGCTTAAGTCAGGGAATCAAAATTCTAACAGTAATGACAAAAAAATGTCAACTGATTGACGACATAACCGGTCCCAGATCTAATAGAATTTATTCGCTATGCACACCCATATAGTAATATATTAAACGCTATTGGAGAACCCTGTGCGTGTCATACTCCGAGATTCAGAACTCCAACGATTTCAATTCTCTACTGACTACATGTTTACGCAAGTGCTGCATGACTGCACCTTGATTTACTGCTCAGATTGAATGATTGATATCTCAACTTGAATTTTCGTGATTTCCAATATTGAAATTAACAAAAAGTGCAAATTAGAAATGATCGGCTATCTTAGGAGAGGGTTGTATCTTTTTCGGATAAGGCTTTGGGGACGGTCAACCTTTTGCGTCCTATATTTGAAAGTTATTAAATATTATAATTAAATTAACTATATTAATTAAATACATTTTAATTAATTAGATTAATTAATTCTAATGACCACTCTCTTAGGGCCTGTTCATATGAGCCCGGTTAACCGAGCTGTCCCGCTTTGCCGAGCTGGCCCGCTTTGCTTTCACATGAGGCGGGCTAGCCCGGCAATCATATCTATTCATAGTAACGATTTCCCACGATAGTTTAGCGGGAAAATAAAATTCGTGTTTATTTGGCAAAATTTTATTTTTGTCGACGGCAACCGCTTCAGGTGGTTTAATTTCGATAAATTCCTATAGTTTTGGACATTTTAGACTGTTTGTCAGTGGAATTAAGCACGCAAATTTCCAGCCCGGCTAGCCCGGTTGTGCATTCATATGAGCCCGGCAAGCCGGGATCTCGCCTCGCTCAAGCGAGATCCCGGCAAACCGGGCCGGCCCGCTTCTCATACAGTGGCGTGCTGGGTACTATTTTTCTGGGGGGGGCAGTGGGCTGTCAACAAATATGCGCCCCTATAATGTTTCGCTTGATAAACGAAGGCCGAAGGCACGAGCCGAGAGCCGCAGGTGCGAGGTTTGTCTAGGGGGGTCCGGGGGCATGCCCCCCAGGAAAATTTTTGAATTTAGAGTCTCTGAAATGCCATTTCCTGGACTTTGGGGGAAGATTTGACAGAAATCTGATGGTCAGGAAACGGCATTATAACGTGTCGAAATTTGCAATTTGGTTTGAATTTGGTTTGGATTTAGTAGTAGTAGTACTTATATTATGCAATGCTAACAACTTCCAGCGATTAATCTAATTTCAATTCTATTCTCTACTGATCTGAATACAATTACAACATACAGCTCTTTTATACAATAACACACGGACCCCACACATATGCATTTTAAGGTTTCCCTGCCTGGCTGCCAAAAGGGCGCGTTTCAGCATTATTTCATTACTCACATTACTCATGATGTTTCTAGCGCAAACAACTAAATTGCGTACACAACTTTACATTATCATAACTTAAACTATCTAATTTGCGCCGGTCTTGTGATTCGTGGAGCATAATAAAGGGCATAATACCAGCAAAAAAGGGCATGATTCCCGTGATCGCTTCGAAACCTGACCAATATTCTGGTGATGAGACATTGCGTGTGATCACAGTTCATGTTTCTATATGAACGATTTCGTGCGAGCCGTGAGGTAGCAAATTAGCAAATACGGTTAGACAAAATAGTGTGTATAATTTAATATATCACTTTGTCGCCTATGCGCTTAGTCTGTTAATAAGCCTATAAACACATCTTTTCTCGGCGGAAGTAACTATATTCTTTCGAATGCGTTTTTTTCCCACCCACTTTCAAAACTCAGCGCGGGATCGGCGCCCCCTTTTCATTTTTGCGCCCTGCAAGAATTGCCAGCTGGGGGGGGGGCGTGGCCCCCCGGCCCCCCCTGCCAGCACGCCACTGTTCTCATATGAACCCAATCCTAAATTTATATACAAACAATATGTGAGGCGGGATCTCGGCATTTGAAAACCAGCCCAGCCCGGCTCATATGAACAGCCCCTTAGCCCTGAAAAATCCGTGCTGGAATGCAGTGCTCATGCATGCAATATGTGTTTTCTATAGAAAATTAAAATTTTAACTTAGCGCATGGAAAATAATAACTTACATCTTATTCAATAAAAGCCTGCATAAAACTGACTTACATTTTTCATAAGCTGGACAACTTGAAAACATGGACAAAACCGCAAAATATTATCCCCATCACCAGTAGCTGTATTAACATAAATAAATAACAACATACAATATATTTCGAACAATATACAGTAAACCTCCAAATATAAACCCTTCCATGTATAAGCCACCATATTCACTAACGCTCAGGCTATTCCGAATAATATTGTAAGCCCCTCTGTGTATAAGCCCATGGGCTTATTATTGGACAGGGATTCCAACAGCTCAGGCGAGTGATAATAATTACATTACAGTATTATATGTTAACCAACTTGTTTTATGTAGAGTTTATATATTGTATATGCATGTTTGTGTTTCTTTTCGTTCACGGTATATATAGTTTACAGGTGCATTACATATTATTACTAACATCAAAAGTCGTCCGTATATATAAGCCCTCCCACAGCCACGTATAAGCTCATCAGAAAATGCTTACGAACAAATATTAAGCCCAGGGCTTATATTCGGAGGTTTACGGTATTTAGAAGAATCAGTTAATTCGTAAACTCATTTCAAACACGCGATACAATATATTGTGTTATAATATATAGTCATTCACCGTATATGAGCTGTTCTGCAATCTGATTGGTTGAATTACTCGCCGTATATCAGCTCATATACGGCGAGTAGCGAAAAACAAGATGGCGATCGAAAAACTACATGAGTTTTGCGAAGCAGGAAAAAGGAAAATATTCGCTTTGAGAAAGATAATAGTATACAAGGAAAAACTCTCAAAAAGATTTGACAGGTTAGCAAAATACATTTATTACATAGAAATTAGTTTAAATGCAAGTTTTTAAAGAATTAATACCGAAACAACAGCGAAAAAAACATGTTCATTGAGAATAATTATAAATTGTTCAGAAGAGTTTGCAACGAAAGACAAATGAATTTGCAGTCAACAAACACTTATATACTATATACTACCAAACATCTGTATAATATATCTGAGCTTTTCTGTGAGATATACCGGTTCTAAAGCATTTCTTTCACTAGTCGTCTTCGAGTTGTAAAACAAAAGTAGTTAGTAGCCGTTTTTACATTAGAAGACGGACAAGTTGTCTAGACGAACAAATCGTCTCAAAATCGTCTTTTAGTCGGACAAATCATCAGATGTGAAAACGTGTCGGACAAAATTTTAGACAAACAAGTCGTCTGAATTTGTTCGACTGCTTGTCCGTCTGTGAAGACGATTTTTGAGAGACGATTTGTTCGTCTAGACAACTTGTCCGTCTCTAATGTGAATAGGGCTATTGTAACAAAGGATAATTAATTATTGCTTCAGTTAATGGCTATTAGACTATATTATAAAACAGTTATACCATTCGCTCTCGGTGCATGCTACGCACCTCGTCGGCTATCAGCTCAGTATACGACTCGAGCTCATGGTATAATTGTTAAATATTTCGGTTTTATTTCGATGTATTAAACAGTTATTGGATGAGGTTTTTGTGATATCCAGAATTATCAAGGTTGAGATAAGTGTTATCAGTCGAGCCGAAGGCGAGATTGATGAACCTTACCGAGTATATAACTCTTTGTATAACTATTTGTATAAGTTTTTAGTGAAAACGATTTAAAACATCACAATAACAACATAAAAATATTAGAAATCTCACTTACCTATACTAAAAATCTGATAAAAATATCAAAAAGGTCTGCTTTTTGCACCAAAAACATTCACGTTTTCCCTGTTCATGTTGTTTTTTCTTGTTTTTTATTCGTGCATTTAAACTGCCGCTTGGTATAAAATTACATATACCGCTGGCTCAACTTACACATACATAACGACGATTCAAATAGCTGTTATCCTAATTGAATACGCCGCTGCGGCGAACCAGCGGTATCTCAGTGGAAGTACGGACGAAAACGAGGCTAAAGGGTAAAAAAACCACAAAACATGACCCTATAGCCTCGTCTCGATGTTAAAATAATGCAGATACCACTGGTCCGTAGCATAGACGTATTCAATTATGATAACAGCTATTGACGATAGGTCGTAAGTACACCAGATCTGGATGCATTGGAACTCAGTTCCGATTCCGAGGAATAATTGGTATTTCAGTTAGTCATTATGTAGTATACAGTATTTGTTTCAATAAATATTCAAAAATGTACATTATTAGTCGTATTTTTAAACTATTCATTTATTTTCAAATTTAATTATTCTGTATACTTATACTTTTTCTCTTAAATATCAAGAACTTATATTCATTCCTTTTGTTATCAGGCATGGTAAATATTGACGCTTTATGGTCGTTTCGTCCCCTTGCCGTTTCGTCCCCTTGCCGTTTCGTCACGTTTCGTCCCCAACACGGACGTCACCCGAAAATTGGTAGGACTAATTTTGGCGGCATTTTGCATCGTAGCGCTCGTGTAAGGAAGCAAAAAACTTAAAAAATCTTAGGTTTTGTCCTATATGTTGAAGATTACCACAAACTGACAAAAACACAGTTTTTAATCCAGTCCCCCCTCGACGAACTGACAGTAGCCCCCCTATAGCACCGGAAGTGATTCAAGCGAATGACGTTATCACGGGGTGTACGTCCGGGCGTTCGTACTTAGTGTACGTACTTAGCGTACGTCCAAGCTTTCGTCCAAGAGTTCGTACTTAGTGTACGTCCAGTTTAGTAAGCATTATGTAATTGTATTGCACATGTCCTGACCAAGTATGCGTTCTTCAAGGTCGAATAATGTTGACGAAGTTTCGCCTATGGAATTTCGGAAGCTATGCAATTTGTTAGAGACAATATTTGCACAAACTGTTTCTTGCGAGGTTTATGAGCTTTTCGAAGAGAGGTGTTGTGGTTGTAAACTAAATCGCTTTAGTCAGAGTGAGTGTCTTATGTTATCGTATGAGGAGAGATCGCAGATGTATGATTTGGAAGCCATAGAGCGAGTTAGCAAAAAAGACGAGGTATGAAATAAGTTTGTTGAGATGACCAAAGTTTTAGAGCTTCAGTGGGATGAAAACGTGTTTGAATATTGGAATCAATTGAGGAGAGACCACATGTATGTTAAATCAATGATGAGTGTGGAGAACAGTGAGATGCTGAGTATTCTAGACCAACTTTCTAACTGCAAAGAGGATTGTTGTGATGACCCACTTGAACCTGGGGCTATGGTCTTTTTTTCAATGCCCCCTAGTTTTAAGTATACTGTGAAAGCGACAGGCGAGCAATTTAGAAGTCATGAAGAAGATCATTATAAGGCATATGTGGAATATTTGAGAAGTAAACTTTGAGATTCAGTGTAAATATGTTAATAATCGAGTTTCGTTTTTATTCTTTTTTGTAAAATTGGTGGTTCTTAAAAGAACCGGTGTTTTGGGTTTATCTTTACTGTTGCAGCCACATCGCAAAAGCCTCTACTTCCACTTTTGCGCAGTGTTGATAAGCGTTGCTTTCCGGGTGGTTCCCACAGGTTTCTAACCAGATCAATTGATCAAATAGTTTTTCAGCTTTGGGACAATTGAAGCATTCCAAATTTACGGCCGGAATACGGAGACTCGATCGCCAGCAAGTCCCTTTCGTAATGTCCGCCTTTGAAGGCAATTGTAGAGTTTGAATCTATCTGTATTTCACGGTAGAAATTCTCTACAATTGCCTGCAAGTCCGAAATTTGAAATGCTTTAGTGCCCCGTGGCATTCCAAACGGGAGTTTATGTATATTCTTCTGGACGAAGTTACACGTTCTCTTGTCTTTCTCGTTCAGCTCGTTCCAGTGTAAGCCAATATCGAAAAAGAACGACGAGGCTTCAGGGTCTCCGACCTTTATGACTCCCAACTCCTTACAGAAAAATTTCTTTCCAGTTTGAAATCCGTCCATGTCAAGGATCCCAACGATGTCTGGTAATGGTTTATTAATAACTCTTTGCAGAACATTTACATCTGAATTACGAGTTACTTACATGATTAAAAAATAGATTATATTATAAAACCTAAATTATATACAAATATGTCATTATTAAAAGGATCTATATATATATATATATAAATATATACTGTATAAATTGTTCAAAATTTATTTGTTACAAATTGGCTAAAACGGTTAGTTCTTACGATTGTTTGGACATTGTTTACTCTCCTTGACTGCGATCGTAATGAATACGAATGAGTGATGGTAGGTTCGTAATTAGTGTTAATGATCTTAGACAACACAGAGCTTGACTTTCGTTGTTGAGCCATGAAGGATTCACAAATACGATCTCTATGATTAGATAACTGGGGCAGTTTAGAGGACTCTAAGGCTTGAAAATAGTCGAAGTCTGGGAATATTATTTTTAGTGCCCTTCGTTGAACGGATTCGATATCATCGGATAGGTACTGCGGTAAGTTGGCCCAAACGGGGGCAGCATACTCAAGCACTGATCGAATAAGAGAAATGTAAATGAGTACCAGGTCTTTATCTGATATGCCAGCAATTTTCAATTGTCTCAATATATATAACCGTTTGAAACCTTTCTTAGTAATATAACCAACATGTTTGTTCCAAGATAGATCGTCTGACATATAAACTCCCAACAATTTGAAATGCTTAACCAAATCCACTTGATGACCACCAATTAACAGCTGACCACCAATTGGTGATCTATACTTAAGAAAACAGATACGCATTTCTTTGCACTTCTTCGGATTCAATCTCATATGCCTAGTACTAGCATACTGATTAACCTCATTAACTAAAAAAGGCGTAAGGCTCGGAGAGTTACGAGGAATTATTTCCAGTGAGGTCAGGTCGTCAACAAATTTAACTCGATAGTGCCATGAATTTATTAACGAGTTGACGAGCACGGCAAATAACAATGGGCCAAGCTTCGTCCCCTGAGGAATTCCACCATTAAGATATCTGTATTCGGAATTGGAACTCCCAATTCTAACACACTGAGATCTTTTATACAAAAAGGCCGAAACCCAGTTTTGGAGAACTGGGTTCACCCCAAAGCAATTCAGTTCTGATAGGAGAACGCTATGGTCGACTAGATCAAAGCCCTTTGCAAAATCGGCAAAAAAAAGCCGGATAGAGCAACCGCCAGTTTCCAAATGGCCCAGAATTGTATGCATTAAATAGACCAGGGCCTGAGTCGTAGATTTTCCCTTAACAGCGAACTGAAATTGGTCCAGCATAGGAAGTAAATCGACAGATAACCTTTTAAGTGTGAAACCCTCCATAATCTTAGCAACTTGGTTAGTCAACGATATTGGACGTAGGTCTGAATTTATTTCTTTAGGGGGATGACACTTAGGTAATGGGATAGCGATCGATGCCTTCAACTGTTCTGGAAAAACGCCTTGCTTCATACTGGAATTATAAATATCCGCCAAAACTGGGGCCAATTCGAAAGCAAAGTCTTTTAGGACCCGGTTGGGTATACCGTCAGGACCAATTGCTGAGCGGGATTTGATGCGCGATAGATCACAAAAGACCTCGTTACTTGAAACTAACAGCTCATCAGGAACATGAATAGAAGGGCTATTCGGGCAATGATCGAGCGGGGAAAAGTTGGATGAAATATTAACAAAGGCGTTGTTAATTTTTTGACACAAATTATCCAATGATGGAGTTTCCTCGTTAATGAATTGATGAAACTACTCACTTTTCCGGCATGGGGTGGATAACTTTTTGACCTGGCGCCACCAGTGAGAAATATTAGAGTCTCTTAGATGTTGCACAGACGAATTGTAATACTTCGCCTTCGATACCTTTATCTCATTTTTAACTCTGTTTCTCCAAAACTTAAATTCTTCAGACACACAACCAAATTTTGCCAATGTGGATTGCCTCTTCCCAATAAGAAATTTTAATTTACATGTTAGCCACGGTTTGTCGCACGCCAGAGTTTTAACCCGTTTAAAGGGGAAATAGGCATCGACAGCGCCAGAAATTAGTTTATGGAACTCTAAATATTTATCTTCACATGCCTCAAGTTCAAGGACGGTAGACCAGTCAACCGTGGTTATCCATTGGCCAAAACGATGAAAATTACTTTCCGTTAAAACTCGCCTAAACGCTGGATCATTCTGTTTTGCGTTAGCGGTACCCGTGGGCGGGTTATTTTTCGCCACAATGGATATAGTATAGTGGTCACTAGAAGCAATCTTCGGTAATTGAGTAGGCGCAGAGAAAAGATTCGGTTTGTTTACTAAACACCAGTCTAACACACCACTATCCCGTGTGTTAACTTTGACTAATTGTTTAAGTCCAGTTCGACGTTTAACAAGTTTTTCATTCAAATTGGTGGAATTAGGATTGAAATCCCCCGTTATCACAACTAAAGCATCGGGGTGGGCATTCACAAACGAATCAACATTATTTTGAATATGGACTAGACAATCAGAGTCATCCTGGGAATTGGAGGCAGTGGTGTGGTAAACTACCGCATACAAAATCAATGAAGCTTGACGGGGAAGACGTGGGGGTCTTAAAACCAACCACAACGACTCTCTATCGACAGTTTCGTACTCAAATAATCTTTTAACTGGGATAGAATTCTTAACATAGATACCAACGCCGCCCCCCAAACGATCTTGACGATCACTTCTGAAAAAATTATAGCCCGGTATACTTATTTCATCAGTTAAAATATCATCAGATAGCCATGTCTCTGTTAAACTAACAATATCAGCAGAATTATGTTTAACAACAAGTTGAAGTTCGTCAACTTTGTTCCTCAATGAGCGAATGTTTGTCAAAAGAATATTAGGAATATTGTTATTCAAGCGAGATGGAGATTGGAGTATGTTGATACCAATACAATTGGATAGGTTAGCTAATCTATTGTTAACAATACCAACTTGTCGTTGTCGTACCACTGTTTGAATTCTACCTTTACTGGATAACTTCCCCTTCCCTCCACGATTTAAGCGACACGGTTTAAAAATGTTCAATGCTTTAAGTGATTCGTAGACTGGTGCAGACACCTTCGGGCGATAAGATGGTCTCAAACGTCGTAGAAATGTTCCTGTATATCGAAGCATCACACCGGCCATATTGTAAATATTACTTGAAGACAAGTACAACTTCCACGGACACAAATCGTTATATACCGTTTTTATCCCGTTTTAAAATTGGCAGGAGCTAACTTAGAATCCAAGGAATAAACAATGATACCAATGTAGGAAACAACCGATCCAAAATATGAAATAAATTGAGAAAAATTTACGACACACTAAACACACGTGCAGCTTCAGAGAGCGCTTATACATTGACGAGATTGGGTTTATTTCAAACAGAAAAAAATTGCTTCCATTCAATGTGACATATTCTCGTCAGGTTGGAATGGTGCGAGCTTGCTAGCAATTCAGATGTATCAGATTTATATTCCAAACGTTCCACGGATACTGAATCCTACTTATCATCTGATATTAGTAAAATAATTCTTTCCAAACTCAAATTTGGGGACAAATACATGCAATATTCAACAATAATTATAAAATGTTATTTTGTTCCGTACCTATAGTACTAAGATTTTGATACCCCCCTAGAGTTTTTTTGTTTTTTTCGTACACCCCCGCCCCCCCTCAGAGGTTCTGGGGTTTTTTCGTACCCCCTCCCAAAATATCCTCCACACACCCTAGTAAATACTTTATTACCGGTCCCTTAGTTCTTTTGCTTGAAGTTCCTAAAGGGCAGTTTCATTTATGTTTAAACGCCTCTCCCCCATTTTGTTTGTTGGAAAATCATTAATTGTATACTGCAGTACAATTAATGACGGTAATAGAATGAATAGGAGTGCTATTAGTATAGGTAATCACACGGGAAGGAGTGCAATTAATATTTAACACTACGAAAAATGTGCCAAAATTTGGCACATTTTTTTTAAATATCACCATGAGGACCCGCACGATGTGTGAAAAAATTAAGGCAAAATATGTTCGTTACCATGGCATAATGTGGCAAGGCGTTTGAGGGTTGACATGTATAAATTAAATTAACTCACTATAGGACAAGGTGGAAGTGTAATTTGATGATCAGTTTTATGAATGGCTTAAATATTGATAAGTTCAGTTTTATATTAGTAAGAGTCAAATAAATCCTAATAGTTGAACACATCTGTCAACGCCATCATTTCAGATATATAGGCAAACGCGCGAGAATTTGAATAGTACCGCGAAGCAATGGCAATGTGACAAGTTGAGGCAATTTGCGCAATGTACTTTCGACTATATATTTATATTCGCATAACTTGGACTATAACAAGAATTGGTACGCCAATCACGATTTGCTTTGCGGTTATCCAAAATCGAATAGAAGGGCTGATGAAAGTGCAGTCTTTCAACTGTTCTCAAGCGAAGTACGGAACTAAAGGCCAATATCGCTGATCTTCAAGACCGCAATGGCAAACAGCCATCCTACCGTTGGTTCAATGGACGACGGCAGAAAGCGTATATTCTTTCTGGCGATGAGACAACGAAATCCAAGAGGAGAACGGCTGGAATCCAGCGCGTATCAGACCATCGACAAGATAGTCAACACGTTGTACTTAGAGTAATTCAGCGGCCCGAGACAATTCTGAAGCTACAAACAGTAACCATGAGCCAATTAGTCCCAGAAGCGCATTCGCATGAATCCTTATAACCATCTTCTACAGGAAAAAACGACAAACAAGAGACATTTATTCTCTCTGCACGCGCAAGAAACGTCTAAATAAAATTGAGAATGCGTTTCAGTCAGTTGAATTTCTTGCCCACGGCGGACGGACGCTTATTTGTGAGCTCTGACGCCGAAACGTCTAAATAAAATTGAGAATGCGTTTCAGTCAGTTGAATTTCCCGCCCATGGCGGACGGACGCTTATTTGTGAGCTCTGACGCCGAATTAAGCGATGTTGAAGAGAATACAACAAAAAATGTAGAATTTAAGCGAGCGAATAACATCAATGTCGTTAAGTATCTTAATATTACTGAAAAAGGAAAACTCAGATGGACAGGTTCTTTCGAGAATCTCGAAATACTGATGAACGAGTTGCTCGAGACACAGACAAAATGGTCATCGCCTGGTGGTCATTGTAAGCTGCTAGAGATGGACAACTTCGAAATGCGGTGGTATTCAAACAATTATTCTTTAACTAGAAATACATGCATGCAATAACCCCTCGCCTGTTTTCAAAAGATGTATACTCAGTGCCGTTGCGAGCACATCGTCTCAGGGTGTGTGTGAGGTTAGATAGAGGGGGGTAGGGGGGTGACCAAAATGTTTCCAGATGTACAAAAAATTTTCAGGACATATAATAATTTT